GTGGGGGGGATCATCATTCTCTTTGTTTTTTTTTTAATCCATCAAGTATGAATGTTCCCTCGTTGCAGAAACACATAATTTTCTGTTTTACGACTCAATAATTTTTTATTCATGACTCAGTATTCCATCCAGATACGCATAATTTGCAGAAACATATGTTCATGTGCCATCTATTATGATTTAAAAAATGTTGGTAAGTGATGTGTTTGATGGCACACATAGCTCATAATTGATTATTTAGTATGAGTGATATGATTTACATGTTCTTTATTTTACTATATTTTTAACAATATATCTTGAATAAAATTGATAATAAAGTAATTCCAGAAATTATATCAAATACTAGGTAAGGGATGTAATTTCCTCAAAAGAAATCATTGGGTCAAGAAATAGGCCCTATTGATCAAAGCCCAGGACTAAGCCTGGATGAAAAAACCACAAAACCGATCAAACCAATCAAACTGAATCGACTCGAGTTAGTTTGACACGGGTAATTGGTTTGATTTTTTTTAAAACAAAACCATGGTGGGTCGGTTCAGCCATGGTTTGAAATCTCAAACCGCTGGTTAACCGAACCAATCTAACCCACATACATGTTTACCTTTTTTTTTTTTTTTTAAGAAGAAAAATATTATTCAAATGATAAGCCCTAATTTCATAACATTGAGAATTCCCTTTTACGAGCTCATTATGTCATGCTTATCCTTTTTTTCCTACTTAGCAATTAGGCTGTCTAATGCATAAAAAAACAACAAAATTCTCAAGTTTTCTATTAATTTGTCTTTATTAATTTGATTTTATTCGTTAGTCAATAGTTTTTGTAATATAAAATTATTTAATTATTTTAGTTTTTATAATCTAAGTGGACCCAAAATTTAGACAATTTTTTTTTTAGGAAACTACACCTACATCTGGAATTAGATTTCCAATTTCACAAATAAGATCACGAGTTTAAAATTTGAAAAATCTGGTTTTAATTAAAAATTTAAAAACATTTTTTAATTTTTATATAATTATATCTAATCAAACTCTAATATAATATGAAGAAACCGCCTCTTACCCATTTCTACACTCTCTCACCGTCTCTACACTCTCTCCACCCATCGCCCGACGCCGCCTCCACCCCTCTCTATCTCTCTCTCTTCCCCCAAAAGAAATGGCCATCCTCCGTTCGTAGCGCCGCCACTAGGTTCGACTCCGAAGTGAAGGCTGCTCGCTTCTCCTTCCGCCTTCCTTCCAGGAACCCCCGGCTCACTGCATCTTCCGGTGTCCAGCTGAGATGAGGTCGTGTGTGGGTCCATGTTTGTACGTGCAGATGTTTTTTTTCCTGTTCTGGTCGTCGGTGCTTTCCTGTGTGAGTGCGCTGCTGGTGAGCTATACGTTGTGCTAGTTGAGGTTGAGAGATTTATGGCTAATTTTTACTGTTGGCTATGGCGGATCTGGCGGCGGTTTTGGCGGATCTGGCGACTGTTTTGTTGTTGTTCTATGTTTTGGTGTAGTTGGGGTTTTTGGGATCGTCGAAATCGCCCACTGATAATTTCCATTTGGTTCTGAGACCGTGGTTTTTGTTTTTGTTGTTATCGTAGTGGCGTCAGTGAATCTTTGTTTTTGTGTAGTTTGGCTACTGGGCGACGACAGTGGTGGTCACAAATGATTTGGGGGTGGTCACAATTGATTTGGTTGTTTGTGACTAATAATTTGGTTAGTTTGTGACCAGGAAACAAGATGCAACCAATGAATTATATAAACTGTGACCAATAAATGTTTTGTGACCTAAAAATTATTAATTGTGACCAATAATTTGATAAATTGTAACCTAAATAAGTATTGTAATTTATAAATTTTGTGATCTGTGACCTATGAATAAATTGTGATTTTTAAATTTTTAAGTTGTGACCAATAAAAAAATTGTGACCTATGAAAATTTTGAATTGTGACCTAAAATTTTTCTCCGGAATTGGAGCAGCCGCGCAGAACAAAGGGGCGGCGAAACAGTCATCGGAATCGTTGCCAGAATCGGAGCAGTCGTTGGAACGGTAGTCGAAATAGTCTCCGGAGCGGTAGGGGTGGTGGAGGTGGAGTGGGGTAATTATATTATAATATTTATTAATTAAATATTTTAAAAACCTAATTTGTGAATTTTCATACTTATTTTTGTATTTTTGAAAATGTGTAAAGTAAGTACCTTAGAAATGTACTGTTCCATTTTTTTTTTTTTTTTAAAAATCAATTTGGACTAAAGTCCAAATCGACTAATAGATCAGTTCGATTTAAGAATTAGAGTAGATTGGTTTGGGTTGAAATTCATCCAAACCGACTAATTTGATTTTGGTTTTGGGTTGATTTGGGTTGAAATTCACACAAACCGACTAATTTGATTTTGGTTTTGGGTTGGAATCGAAAACGACAAAAACTAAAACGGGCCCAGGCCTACCCACGACTATTGTCGATTCGACCCGTCAGCAACCGAACCCGTTTGACCGCAGCTTCCGGACTCGGGTCCAATGGGATCAGCTTATTGGTCAGTGTTAAAACGGAGAGTCTATACGTACCATAAAAATCATATTTTTCCATTTCTTCTCTCAATTTTCCACTTTAATTTTCCTCCCATTTTCCATCCCACAAGGAAGGAAAAAGGTTTAAATCCCTAACAAAGGATTCAGGAGGAAGGAAAATCCAGTATAAATGATCTTCAATGACTTCAGGTGACTAATTTTCTATTGGTATTAACGATAATTCAGCCCATGTATCATGTAACTATCATTTCCTTGATTTATGGTATTTATTTTTGGTTTTTACATCTGGGTTTGTCAATTTGATTATGTTTTGGTGTAATTTTGCTGGGTTTCTTAAGTTATGAGAATTTTGAGCACATAACCCTTTCGGTTTAGAGAAGTTATGTATAATCGCTAGAATTCTGTCTTGTTGAATTTAACTAATTCCAATGACTTAATGCGCGTAATTTTCAATGGGAATTTCCAAATAATTCAGTTCTTTTATTATGCAACTGTCATTTCCTTGATTTATATTGTTTTATTTGATTTAATTATCTGGTTTTGTCGAACTATTTTTCTGGGTTTCTTAAGTTACGGAGATTTATGTTTTTTTAAATTGGTTTTAATTATCTGGATTTTGTCAATTTTATTATGTTTTGGTCTAATTTTGCTGGGTTTCTTAAGTTATGGAGAACTAGCTCACATAATGAACACCCTTTTGGTTTAGCGAAGTTATGTATAATCAGTTGAATGTTTTCTTGGTGAATTTAACTATCTTCAATGACTTCTTGCGATATAAATGAGAATTTCTGTTGATTCTGCAATATATAATGAAACTATCGTTTCCTTGATTTGTAGAGTTTATTGGTTTTAGCCTCCACTTGTGGAGAATTTATAAACGGTTTAATTTGTGACTAAACAGAAACGAGTGGAATGTCTATTTGAAAATGAAGTTTTTGACCATTTAAATGATTTATAATTTTTACCAAACGGATGTTTAATCATCTCAGTATTATCAAATTTTTATATTTTTGCGTAATTTTTCTGGGTTTTGTATGTTATGGGGAATTTTTACATGCATAATGAAGAACCTCTCATTTTATCGAATTTACTCACAATCAATTGAATTTTGTTTTTATCATGCCAAACTGATTTTCCATTTTCGGAATTTTTTTATACACTTTTGTGCTTATTCATTTGGGGAATTCGTTTAACTGTCTTTCTTTTTTTAGTTAAAGGTTTTTGAATGAAGGGATGCTTTTTGTTTTACAGATTACATATTAAAAATTGCAGCTGAGCTTGAATCAGCTTCACGGCTGAGGACTGCTCAATTCTTGGTAACACAAAGACCATGGCTTGGTAATTAATTTCTTATTATGTTTCTATTCACTTAATGTACATATGGTTTATACTATAAGTGCATATATGTGCTGGAGGCTTGAGCAAATGAATGCGAGTTATTTTTTTGCATGCTCGCATTGTAGTGTGTGTCAATAGTACATTTCAACGATTAATATTAAATTGTTAATGTGGTTCTTGACTGACTGTTGTATTATTGTTTCTTTATCAGATCTCTATGGAATTAATGTTAGACCAGTGGCCCCTTTTGGGAGTGCAAGTCGTAAACCTTATGTTGATGAGGCGCTCATACACCGGAATTTGCCTGACGAGTTGCTTTTTGAGGTAATTACTTCTCTGGAAAGTGGTATCTTCTTTTAATCAATGATTTGGTTATAAAGATATGGTTGTGGTTCTTCAATCATGTTCTTTCACTTTGGATATTATATGTGAAGATCTGAATGATATATTATGTTTTAAATTTGGATAAAGGTAGTCCAAAAGGGGAAAGTACTAGGTCTGTATATTGTGGTAGTGAACTGTCTTTTTAGGGATTAATGATTTTATGGTATATAATTAAATTTTATCAGATAGGGTTATGAAGGATTTTTTAGAATAACTGTAATGCACATGACTTTTTCATGGAGTCTTTTTTGAAAGCATAGGAGTACAAAGCTCCCCAAGGCTAGATGAATGATATTTGGAAAGTTAATTATTCGCTCAATAAACCCGCTGCCAAAGAGAATTCTTTTCACTTATGCCGCTTTTTAGGGGTTTGGATGTCTTTATAAGATGTCAAGAGCTACGAAATAATTTGAGGAGACAATGTCACACTATTTTGAGAATGTCCTAGATCATTGAGGAACTCCTTCCAATCCCAGATAATGTGACAAAAGACAAATTGGTGAACGTAGAACCAGATTTTCCCTTTGAATCTCACCAATCATTAACATAAAAGTTAGATGATGGACATTAACATTCTTTAGAAAATTAAATTAAAAAATGAAGGGAGCTCTTAGGATGACCACATTTGTTGTCACAAAGAAAGAACTTTGCACTTGAAGAAGCCACATTACACAATGCTAAATCAAAACCTGCAGTCTCCTTTCACGTGGCTCGCAAATAGTAAAGCACATAGTGGAGAAAAGATGTCTTCGGATCCTTGTTCTATATGTATTACATGGAATAATTGGTCGCATTTTGTGGTAACACCGATATCTTTGCGGTTGTAATTACTAGAAGGTTTTTGATGTCGTTGAAACTCTAGGTGGTTCCATAACCGTCATTTATGTTGATATTCCTTTACGAATCAGGAAATGTCATTTGCATCTTTCATTGAAGCTCTCATTAATTTTTGTACGTACGAATCAGTTACAATTGTGATTAATCTCACTGTAGATTTTCTCAAGAATGACTCCATATACCTTAGGGAGAGCTGCTTGTGTTTGTCGCAAATGGAAATATACCATTCGAAACCCGGTGTTCTGGCGTAATGCATGCTTAAAGACTTGGCAGGTAGATGAGATGATGTTGGTTAATATTTACGCTTTTTCATATATTCCGTTGTCTGTTTTCAACTTGAGGATTCCTTTTTGTAGCTCAATGGAGTTGCAGAAAATTACAAGATTCTACAATCGAATTATGATGGTTCATGGAGGAAAATGTGGCTCTTAAGACCTAGACTCCGTACTGATGGTAAAATATATCCTTGTACTTTTTCTTGTATCAATATCAGGGGTGGGCGCGGGTCGGTTCGAC